GGGGAACTCTGCAAAAAACGCATCTTCGCACGGGCAGCCCGTGCGTTGGCCAATTTTTTTCTTTCTTTAGTGGACTGCTACGGGTTTATTTTGGATAATTTGTGCCAAAGAATATTAATTTAATTTCGTCTTTCACAGTAAATTTTTGGACGAATTATCGCATGAAAACATCAAAATTTCAGATTCCCACTTTGTTCTGATATGTGCTGATAGCAATAGCGTCCATTTGAAAAGAAGTCGTAATTTAGAAAGTGCAAAAATTCTATCAAAGTTTTCGCGATTTCAGAACCCATCAATTGCTTGCAGGTTGTCTGTGAAGGGAATGGAAATCAACGACTTGCACGCTTTTCCATTCGATAAACGAAATTGCACACTGATTTTCTTCAACGGTAATTCAAATTCTTTCAAATAATTACTGGCAGTAGTCCCCAATTATCAATAAATGTATTTAAAAAGGTAAAACGAACACTCAGTTGAACTGCGGGTGGTTTCCAGATAGGCTACGTATACATGTCACTCCGAAAAAGTTGACCTGTACATTTAATTAAAAGTGAATCGACTGTTTATACAATCATAGTGATGAAATGACAGCCAGTAAAGAGATCTGCTCATGGTAATTTATTTATTGTGCATTTATGATATTTTATGAATTTAATTATTCACGAATGATAATTTATGAATATTTATAAAGTTTATGAATGATAATTATGAATAAATTTATGATAATTTATTAAGAATGCCAAGGTTGCCCAGGCAGTCGGTACGGATAAACCAATTTGGTTTTTTGTTACGATGCTCCCACTGCCAACCCCTTCAGCCCCACACTGATTATAAATAGCCGCACGCACCAGAGTGGCCAGTGCTATCATGCGTTTGTGCAACCTTGACCAACGAATGCTTGTGCAGCTCTGTCCAAGAGGAATTTGCTGTCACAAGTGTTCATTGCTTTGCTGCTTGATATGTGTAGAAATTTTTATGGTTCCTTATTTATTAATTCTGGCGCGAAAACTTTCGCGTATCCGAACGCGAGAATGAGACGTGTGCTAGGACTGAATTTATAAGCGCTCTAACTCCTGAAATTTCAGCTTCCTAACTTTTTTGGTCCCCGAGCTAGTTAATTATTGCGCTAATATTTCACGTGCACGTACGTATGACTAGGCGCAAATGAAGGCAGAATTTAAATTTGCAGAGTTTTACGTGAGCAGGAAATACTATTCAAAATTTCAACTTCCGACCTTCCTGGCTCTTGAGTTAGTGATTTTCAGCTACTGCATTCTAAAGCGTTCGAATTATAAATGAGTACCACGGGCCCAAAGAGAGGATTATCAGCTCATTTCTTGGAAAAAGAAGAGTCTTTTGTTGCCGAATTAGAAAAGAATTGATAATTTAAATTTATGTCGTACTTAGCGATCTTGAAACTCATAATTTTTAGAAGATTCTCGAGCTCAGTGGTCTGGCGTTACATCGATAACTATACCGAGAATCGGATGGGGTGTATGGAAGGTAGTGGAATGCGAACGACTCGGCAAAACAATCATTTTGAGTCTAAAGAGGTGATTTTGGTTGTTCATTTTTTTGTCGCTCATGTAATATGAATTTAAAAAAAATATATATATATATTTTTAAAGCAACCACCGGTTTTTTCAAAATAGTATTTTCGAAATTATTTTATAATTTCTAAAAAACTACTTAAAAACCATTTTTGGAAAATGAGTACTTTTCTACTCTAAAAAAACATCATTTTAAAGCTGTTTTTAAAATACTTTTAAAAACACTGGTACTTTTTAAATACTTTTATGTGCCAATTTTAAAACTGTTTTCAAAAATAATTTTTTTCTGTAAATACTATTTTCATGCTGCCCTGTAATCTTAGGT